TTTGAGAATATAACTGTCTTCAGTATTAATATTATTGCTAATCGTACATAGCGATTTTGTGTTTGTATTATTCATTATTTCTATATTATATTATTTAAATTTTCAATCATCTCCTTCAAAATATTGTTGTCAGTATTACTGTTATCGATTTCCTTTGTTGTTATATTTAACATAGATAATACATCTGTAATATTAGTAAATATTGATTTCAAATTCGGTATTATATCTTATAATAGAAATATATGTACATAATCTAAATTAACTGAATTTCTATATATACATAATTTTAATTTACCGAATTTCTATTTCCCTTTCTAACTGAAAAACTGTAGTCGAAACCACTCAATCATAAAATTAATAAACACTTATTTATCAGATTTTAACTATTAACTATTATATACACCAAATTCTTTAATATACATTACTATCACTACACTAACCCTTCGATACATACAACTGTCAAAATATGCAATGACAGCCGCTCACGAAGAAAACGCTGTGATGGAATCAATCGGCATCACGGATTAAAGGCAACAATTCTTCGATACATTCGAGTATAAATAACATGCCTTTTTTAGAAAGGGATAGTAATTTATATTATATACATTTTTAAAACAAGAATTCATATACTGTGTGTCTAGTTGTGCTGTTCTTATTAAATTTTTACTTGAAAAAACTTGCTTAGGAGTCGTTTATTGTGAATCTTTAATTCACCGATTAAATTTCTCTGATTAAATCGGGAATCGAATTATTTATTAATTCAGATTGAATAAAATATGTATAGTACATTTTTATATAATAAAAGCATATATATTAAATATATTTTTATTAAACTGTATAAAAAAAAGTTAATTCAAAAATTGCTTGGTAATTATATTAAATGCTGCATTATATATATATATATTTTCATTATTATTCGTTTTATCGTTATTATATTATTATATAGAAATAATTACAAGAATACGAAAAAGCTATTGATATAAATAATACTTCTTCAATAATATTGTATATTATTAAAGAATTATTGTTATATCAATAATTTTTTCATATATTATTCTTGTAATTTTTTCGTACGGAACATATCATTTATTATTTAATATTTATCATACATATTATTTATATATTATTATACATATATAATAATATATATATATAATTATTATTATAATAATTCATATTATTATATTCGACTTTTATATAAATATTATAATAAAAGTATTAAAGTGAAAAACGAGAATTTAAAAATTTTATATTAAAGTTTTACATTTTTTTTATTAAATAAATTATTAATTATTATATTTAATATTTCATTGAGAAAATTTCATTTGCATTTAGAAGTTACATTGATGTATGACTTTGTAATCTTGATACAGAAATTTTACATACTGTATCAGTATAATAAGATTCTAAATCAAATATAATCATACATGCACACACACATACATAATTTTTATATGATTTATATAAATTTATCTAAATAAATATATTTATTTAAATAAATATTTTTTCTTGTGCAAGAATATTTTTAATATATATTCAGTTTATCATTTAAAAGTATCATATATCCAATTCATCTTATTTATATATATCCAAATATTTTTAATATTATATATTGGAATTATTTCCATGTTTAATAAATCAATCTTCTTATTTATTTAATTCTTTACTTTAAATTTTTCTTTCAGTTCAATGTGTGATCAACATGTGTTTTCTTCAATAATGTTTGGCTTCAAGAAGACTAAAAATGCGCGAATCGCTCGATAAAGTGCCTATCCAAGAAGAAGGTAAGTCAAAACTGATTAACAAATTCGAAAAACGTTTTTCCGATTTTTATTATCATATATAGATCATATATTTTTTGAAAACACTTAATATATTTTACTTAAGATAGTAATATTGTAAGTTTATTGGACATGCTGGTTGGATCGTAACGCTGTCTGCCGCGTGGCAGTGATTTAAGTGGAAAATTCGTAAATTACTCACTTCCGACGCTTCTATGATGATCATCGAATAAGGATGTGTTTTTAACACGCGGGGAAAAAGGGCGCAAGGACGAAAAAATACATTTATAAAAATTACTCGTGATCATCGTAACGTTTTCGTTCACGGCTTCTGAAATCGGGGCTCTTGATCAAATGGCGAGGAGATAAATTCTTCCTCTTTTCTTTTTTTTCCTACAGTAAGATGGAGCGTCTTACATGAAATTGATCGCCTTGTCGATGCAATATGAAATATTGACATAATGATAATTCAACGTACATGATGCGCGTACATTGATTTACCTGTCTATTTACTGTTTATTTACCTATCTTCTTCTCTCCATCTCATCTAAAAGTTATCACTAAACGGATGCGGCATTCGATACCGCGTGTTTTGTGGCGTGTGCGTGTTGTATTTTCGTGTAGATGTGAATGCATTTTATTATATGTTCCGTATTGATGTATGGTATGTAAATAGATCTATAGCTGCTGGGAGACAGGGCTGAGCGCAGTTTCAGGCAGGTTCCATCCAATTACAGATATATTATATCATAGCAAACATCGTGACTATTTACAATAAATATACAATTGATTACGTTATATAAATAAAATATATATAATATCGTATTGTTAGGTTTAGGTTTACAGCAACACGTGACAGTAAACAATTAGATCAGCGGCAAAGTAGCATAATCTATCTAGGGTAGTGGTCGTAGTAGCATTAGCGTGGCTGACTCTTTTGCTTTTCTCTCTTTTGCGCTTGCTCACTCTTCAGTATCTCATCTTACTTTCACTCTTTCTCTCTATCGATCTCACATCAATTTCCGTCATTCAATTTCCGATTTCTTTCTTTTTTTTCGGCGTATAATCTCGCTCGAGTTCGAAATCGCGCATCTCGAGAACCGCGCCGCAATGCACGGATTGCTGCTATAATTGGCCACTCTAGCTCCTCTCATATATATATATATATATTTGTTGAAATATATATATATATATTTATTTATTTATTTATTTAGTTATAATTATTATTTCTTCGCGCGCTCTACTTCGTTTCTTTTTAATTTAGAGAAGTACGCGGAATATTGTTGCGGTCCACGGTGACCGCCCGCAGGGGACGAACGAATCTGGAACGAGTTCGCAAAAACGAGAGATAAAACTTCACGGAAGTTAAAGAGTGAATTTCTTCTCCTAATATTATTAATTGTATCGCGTCCTCGATCGGACCTCGAGTCAAATTTAGGGACCCAGCCCGCGTACACGTATCGTCATATGGCTGGCTCGTTCATTAATTTGACACGTGATATTTAAAAATAGTCGATTCTTCTTGAACGCACATCGTTGCCGGATAATAACGGCGAATAATACGATTTAAGATCAATATGGTGCATATGGGGTAGTGGAAAGCAGGTGTGAGAGGCTGGCTGGCCGGGGAGGGACAATGAGTGTTTAGATGTCCACGAAATGTCGAAGCACTCCTATTTCGCTTGTCCAGATGACAGCCAAAGTCCTCAGAAAATTGACAGAAAAGTTATCTTTACCTTATCAAAATAGAGAAGCGATAGTTGCTCATCGTTATAATTAGTCAATATAGCTAAAAATTATTATTCAAGTGCATTCAGTTAAAAATTCCTAATTGAAAGAAAGCAATTGTTCGTAAGGAGACCCAAATTCAAAATTTACGATAATTTTTTTCATAATGAATATTTTCAAGATAAAAATGTGTTTTTTTAGAGTTAAAGTTAGAATACAGCAAAATAGAGATAGAGCGTTTTAATTCTGGCTATATTAGATAAGCGAGGGAGGAATGCAGCTCGACGATCGACGAGCTCGTCCGCGAGAAAACGCGATAATGAACACGCGCGGAGATAGATTAACGGCGCGATTTCACGAGTTCCATTTCTGCGTGTCGTTTTACGCGCGTTCGCGTGTGTCTCCGAGAACGTGAAATGTACAAAAAGGATCGTCCTTGCGACACCTCGATGGCACGAGCGCGCACGCGTGTGTCTCCGATGGCAACTCGTCTTGGACCGCGATGTTGGGGATCGTCCAAACAACACAATATTTCAAAAGAAACAATAAAGATGTCCTATATTTTGAACATCTTTTAGACGTCTTACAATTTTGTGTTGGTTGGATAGTATAGGTCTAAACACTCGCTCGAGTTAAAAATACGTTTTACGAAGCTTCTCTATATATGTATGTATATATATATATATATATATATATATATATTTATCTTTCTCTCTTTCTTTCTCTCTCTATATATATATACTTTTTTATACACTCAGCATATAGATAACGTTTCTTTTTATCCTTCATCTATTCAGACAGCAATGTCGTTGTGCCACTAACTATCCATAAACGGCACCGTCTCTAAAGCCGTGTTGCAAAATATCAATGGCGAGTACGAACGTTCATGAAGACGCGAGCAAACAATACGCGCGATGGATCGATTGATCCAGGATTTGTGTAAAGAAGGGTGGAAAATGGGCGAAGAGAGGAAAAGGAGACGTATCAATGAAAAGAGGGAGACAAATGTGGGTGACGAGAGGGATTTCCGATGCTAAAGTGATTCAATGCACATATATGGGTTTTGTGCGCGGGCGATCAGCGCACACATATACGCATATACATGCGCGCGTACACGCATACACGTACACACCCGTACGCACACATACATACACACATACATACGTACACAGGCGAAAACGATCGGTACTTTGCGGGCAGTAATTTTGGATACACATACTTAGATAGTACTCTCGGTGAGGGAACATAGTTTACGTTCGTTACGTTCATATCCAGCAAGCACAAATATGCGATATTTGTATACATATTATTTACCGATAAAATCTGACTTTATCTCTTCTTCACATTTTCTTTAATTCTGGATTATACGCAGACATCATACGGCACACACGGCGCTCCTTTTTTTTCGAAATTCCCGAATTACAGGGGATAATAACCACCGTCGATCCCGAGCGATTATTTCCCTGCGCGCACAATAGTGCGATATAAATCATCGATCGTTGAACAATCGGGAACGCTTATACGCTACGGATAGGATACATCCACATGTTAAAAATACGTTTAGTTTCGCTATTGGTATCCGATGATCTCATACACGCTCATTGTCATCATTCTCTACTTCGATATCCTCTCAACATTTCTCTTTCTCTTTCACTCGCTTTCATTCTCTCTATCGCCGTACAAGAAAAGCACCACTTTATAATACAAATTCGTCTCATTCTTAACTGTCTAAAGCCGCGAACGGAATTCAAGCTCGAGACCGCGCGATCGCCGTTCCTCGTCCTCTTTTTAACAGAGGAGATCGTCTCTTTCTGTTTCTGTTTCTCAGTTCTTTTTTACTCTTCACCGTGGAGCCATTCATTGTTGAGACACATTATGTCCGCATTTGTTTTCGCACTCGCTACCGCTTTCCAGCAATCGCAATCGTTACTATACTTCCACATCATTCGTCATATTTCTTTCTAAGTCCGACGTTAAAATACCGCGGATTGAATGGACCCGGTCGGACAATATTCACGTAGCTTATTCACACGTTAATATAGTACCATTCTGATTCATATTCTTCCCTCGATTTATTCTACACCAAAAAAAAGATTGCTGCGTCAACGTAAAGCTATGTATTGACTAGTTTCTCTCACTCGAATCGCTCTCAACAACGAATGGCCTGCTTTTCGTGATTCTTTTTTCTATCTTCAAGCTTTGCGATATACCTATATTTACCTTGTATCGATGCGGCGTACCGTTATATGCAGTTTGCACGCACAATATTACGGTCCGTCGTCGTTTACTTAGGCCTTGAGCACAAGCTCGACGAGCTTGCCGGCCCTTCCGAACATAATAAATTGCAGATCCTTACTTAAGACCTGCGAACTAGCAACGAGCTCCAGTTGTGTCCACGTCATGCTAAACCTGCGGAAGAATCTCGCACTGTTTTTTTACTCCCTTCCAGGTTACATACACATATACAATCAGCATTTCGGTATACATTCTCCCGGTTATCCTTTCTTTCCGGTTATCCTGCTGTCGCTTATAAGGCTTTCGCGGATCTGCCAATCGCGGATCGGTCGCGCAGCTGGTCCGTGGAGCGAATGCTTGGTGAAATTCGCGTTCCTCCGCGTGTGTTTAACGCTCTTACACACTATATAGCCTATATCTTGCGCGCAATGTATATATATTTATAATATATATAATATATATAATATAACATTATAGTGTTTTTGGCATCTTTGAAATACACAAATAGACTTTGGTATAAAACTTTTTGATAGTGTTCAGTACACGTTTATATATGCGCGTGCATATATATAGACGCTGCGCATTACAGCGACTCGCTCGATTCTTTTACCCTCTCGTCAAGTTTCATTTCTTTCTCTTTTTTTTCTTTTCTGTGATATCGTTCACACGAAAGTTCCTACGGTTTCGATTTACTGGACAATGTCCCCGCGCGAGGGGGACGATACGACTGACTTCTTGAATATGGTGTCGCTCTAGCACATCTTGTCCAACCACCAGAACTTACAGGACGGCGCGCCTCTCCTCCTGCGTCGTTTCTTACTCGACTGATCGACGGCCTTCTTCACGAATCTGATGTTGTAAGGGTCCTCTGCGAGCTCGGGATATTGCTGCGCGTCGTGTATGTACTCGCCCTCATAATTGGACGCGAGGCCAACTTTTACTATTTCATCTTGCTCAGCGACCATCCATTCAACCGAGGTAGGAGTGTTCGCCTTGAGTGCCTCGCGCTCCCGATGCCATGCCTTCCTGATGGCGGTTGCCTTCGCGTGATGCAATAGTCTCTGTTTTTCTTTCTCCGCCGTAGTGCCGTAACGAAGATTCACTACGTAGCTAGCGCCATGTATTTTTACATCGATAAGCGAGCTGCTACCACTGCCGTTCTCATTCTCATGAAAAGTCGTGTTTACTTGACCGCCCAGTCGTTTCAACTGTCCTCGATCCTCACTAGCCCGCCAAGTCTCCTCTTTAACGAAGTAGAAAGCGTCTTGCTGCGCGCTGTGCACAACGAATGTGAATGGTAAAAAGTACGAGCGGTTAAATACGGACGTGAATACGTCGCCGTAAATCGCGTTAGCACTCGGTACGCTGGATACCACCGCCTGACCGTCGGCGGTTCTTGATACTAGGATACCCTTGCCGAATGGAGGATCGGATGCCGCGCCGAGACGGCTGGGTATCAGCTCGCTGGTGTCCTTCTTCAGGGCCGATCGCGGCGGTGCCGATAGGCTTACAGCGTCGCCCGAGTGTCTCTGGGAGATGTATGCGAGAAAACCGGATTGGACACCTAGATTGCGCGTTCTTTTCTTCTTACCGAATATGGAGGTCCCCGGACCAAGAGCTTGTGGTACAAGACTATCTGGCAACTCATCCGGGAATAATTGAGGTGCCAAACTCTTCAGATCATACCCGAGATGCGACAGCCATGATATGTGATCTAGAATAAAATATATTATAATAATAAAAATATGTATAATATAAAGTATATACCTATTAATATAGGATTTATATGATTTAATTTAAATTTTGATTCATATTGTGTGAATTTACCAGTAGGTTGACTCGGTCTATCGGTATGTCTGACATCGATAGGATCATTTCCATTAAATCTGTAAAGATGTAGATGTGTCGGCTTGTTAATGCGATCCAAAACGTTCTCCCAGAGCGGTGACATCCACTGACCTATCAGTGGATCGTAAACCTTCCCGTTTGGCATATGAACCAGAGACGTGACCTATAAATTAATTATATTAAAAAACATGAAGTAGCAACAAGCAAAACTTTTAAATATCATGTATATTCAATTTCAAATTTGTTAACTTTAATGAAATTTTTATCATCTTTCTCGTCATACTTTAATTTATTAATTAGAATATTTCTAAAGCTACATATATGTGATAAATATGAGAACATGAAATTTTATTTACCTGATCCAAAAGTCCGCCACAGAAATCAACCGGTAAATAGAGATAGGGATTCGAATCATAAACGATGTGACCATAGGGCGAGCGCATAATTTCTCTTATACCTTCTCCATACTGATTGAAGATCATAATGGGCGTACCGCACTGATCGGTGGCGATATAATATTTGTGTCGATATACTTGTGCGTATATAAGATGTCCTCTGTCATCGTAGACCAGCGACATTAATTTACCATCACGTGGACTGTATATTTGACTCACTTCGTGTGGACGTTTCTGATTGTTGTAAAAGAATTGCGTAACATTGCCGTAGTTGTCTTTTCTGGTGGCTAGTCGATCTAAATGGTCGTAATAATATCGTACGTCGAAGCGGCCGCGTTTTGTAGCGCGCACGAGAAGTCCCTTGGCATTATAATTGAATCTTTCCTCCCTCGCATTTTGCACTACCAGACCTCGGTTATCGTACTTATAGAGGCCCTCGCCGAACTTGACAATTCGGTCCATATTATTGTATTCCATCGGGATTGTGTTACCTCGATACGTAAGTGATAACATGTTGCCGTTCGCGTCGTACTTAAAACCCCAGGGTTCCTGCGCCTCTACGCCAGTCAGTTGACCGTCGCAGTCCCACGTGTAGTTCTTCACATTGGTATACGTGTTGACAGCGACATTGCGCGTATATGTTCTCGTCTGGTTGATGCGGCCGCGTGAGTCGTGCGTAAATTCCATCCTGAATACTTCCATTCGATGAATCGTAACTGTGACCTGAGTTTCTAAGAATCTGTCATCTGTAGTACGTGAGAATAGCGCTGTGCCGTCGAGCACAGTCGTCTCATTGGGTTGCGGTCTCGTCACTTTAAACTGGCCGATCTGCTCCAGCATTCCCGATCTCGGATTATAAGCCATGGTGTGTGGCGGCAGTGTCTGTCCACCTATTCTACCTTGTACCGCTATCAGACGGAAATTCGAATCATATTCAAATGTAAATTTGGCATTGCTCAGACCGGTCTTGGCGCCGAAATCTATACGCTCTTCTACTAGGAGTCCTGCGCTATATTGATAATCCCACTTATATTCCACGTCTCGCTCGGAGTGTATCACTTCAGAAGGTAGTCCGCTCTCGGTGTATCTGATTTCACTCTTGCCATCACCATGAACGACTTCAGCTAGTTGACCCGAAGTGTGATATCTATAAACAGTACGAGCTCCATCTCCTGGAAACACGGTTTGCAGCAAGTTTCCATCATGACTATAATGTTGCAAATAGGCTCTGGTGCTGCCAGGTGGAGTGTACGTCACTCTGAGAAAACCGAGCGAAGCCTGACAGGAGAAGGAATGTTTGGTTTCCGAGGGTAGAATAATGTGTCGTAGTCCACCGTCGTCGTCGTACTGCAGGGAGAACTGTCTGTTGCTGGCGAGCGTGATTTTCGACAGCATATTAAAATCATTGTAAGTGTATCGTTTCGTGCCGTCTTTGCTGTTGGTGATTTCTGCCAACTGACCATGTCGGTCGTAACCATACGACTCGTCGGAGGCACCCCATTTCCAGCTGTCAATTCTATTGAATCGATCGTAGGTGATGCTGAGATTATGACCCTGCTCATGCGGTTGCCAGACTAAGGGTAGACCAGCCAGATCAAAGGTCACCGTCAACAGCGCAGTGCCCGCCTTGTCATAGAATGTTTCGCGACTAAATGCTTGCTCGAATTCGACGCCTACCATTCGCGTGTCGTTCACCCAGATCTCTCTGTTGAGTGTCTGCTGGGGATGGCTAACATCGCCGACCAGGTTATAAGTTGTCGTCATGGTATTCGTTAATTCGCCCAGCGACATTAATTGATAGCTCCACATAGGTAACATCTCCGCTTCCACCGGCAAAGCTGCCTCTAATAGCGGATGTTTCGTCGTAGCTGCGCTCAATATTCTACCGCCACCAGGTAAAAATACTTCCAGACTACTGTTTGTAAATGCGATTGCTTTCATAAGCTTGGTGCCTACAAATATAAAATTATATTAAATTAAGTGGCTTAAGGATTCTCTTTAATTTACAAATTGTCTTAATATATGTGTAGGTTTTTTTAAATTATAAATTCTCTTAATATATACATCAAGACACATGATAGATAAAATAAAAATGATTTAATAATTTGTCTAATCTAAATAATTTAAAGAAACATACCGTCAGTGATTGTCAACATCTTCGATTTCTCGTTCTTCATCTTAAATTCTATGAGTCGCTGTTTGTCGCCTTTTGATAAGGCTTGTAATGGTGCAGACACTTTAACCGTTAAACCTTCATCATCAGATAAATCTGATGATAATTTTAGCTTTTCGCCTGTTGGCAGTATCACATCGGTGACACGTCCCAAATTATCATAATTATATATGTACGTTTCATCACCCTGAAATTCATATTATATATTGTAATATATTTATATATTATATAATTATTTCGTAATACGTTATAATTCATATAGAAAAATATACTTTGTTTCATCAACAGATAATTTATTTGTAACGATATATTTCCGAAGTATTTTTCTTACGAGAATAAAAGAGAAGAAGATATATATAAAAATATTTATGCAATTAAGTGATCTACATTTTGTTGATGAAATTAAGTCAAATAAAAATTTCCAACTTACTCCTGATCGACTAGTAAGCAAACCAGTCGAGCCATCATAGCCCAAAGCAATTTCCGCTCTACCGCGTTCTGATAATTTTTCCAAGAAACCAACCGCGGAAATTTTCAACTCGGACTTATGATCCTGAGTGTTTTCGATAGAGCTAACGACGCTGCTGTAATCTCGTAGAAATTGAATCTTATTTCCTGCACTATCTGTCACCGTGGATAATTTGCCAAAGCTCGTGTTCTTGCTGTATAAGAAAGAATAACGGGTCTTTCCAGACGTTAAGTCTTTCGTAGAGATGTGTTGGCCATAACGATTGAATACGTAGATTTCGTTCGAAGGTGGGAATGGAATATGGAATTCTCCGCTCTCGTCATGATTCGGAAGGTACGGTTGAAGAGCCAAGATATGAAGACTACCCTGATCGGCCACGTGTAGGATGCCATCTGGCGAAACAGCCAGTGCAGATATCGCAATAAACTTGGCATTCGATGATAGAAGTGTCTCTGTGCTGCTAGTGTCATCCGTGCAAGTGCATGCATCCAGATCTTTAGTGCTAGGTGTGGTATTGTTGCACTCGCATTGGCCACGTAACCTCTCTTGCTGTTGACCTGCAAAGTGAGACATCTTCCCGGAAGAGTCAACGATTCTGATGGAGTTTACTCGGTGAGAATCGCGATCCGCTATATATAGTTCGCCAGTTGGACTAAAACCTACGGCCAATACCGAGCCAAGCACTTCGTCCGATTTTTTCGGATTCATCGTCATCGATACATTCAATTTCGGCAGTTCTCCGTTACTGTTGCTGTTGCTATTTGCATTGCTAGTACAGTGAAGAGGTGTACCAGCAACCACGCGCACTTTCAGATCGCTGGTGAGTTTTAAGACTAATCTGTCGTCGATAAAATGCAAAGATCCGTCCAGCGGGCTCAGAGTCAGTCCAGTTGGCCATTGTAATTGAGCCTGATGTGCGGGGATGGCTCCGATGCAAGGTGCCGGTGACCAATGATTATGATGACCATGATGTCCCACAAGTGTATGTATAATACCGCGTGGATCAACCGCACGAATGTTCGTTCCATCGGCAATGTACATCGTTTTGTCGGCCGCAATTGCGATTCCTATAAATCATAATATACAGGTCACATCTTGTAAATTATTTTGTAAGCGAATTTTGAATTTGCAATCTTTTTTATTCGCGAATATACGTTCGTAATTTTGTAATATTACTAAAAATTGTTCCAATGATGCAAGTATTTTGCGAGAAAATGATACAGGTACATCTCAATTCCTCCCTTACCTTTAGGATGAGCCAATTTCGCATGAATGGCCGGGCCTTCATCGCCGCAATGTCCTTCATCACCTGGAATGCATCTTTCGCCATTTCCAACGACGGGTTCGATATTGATACTGGGATCTTGGACTTGTTCGAGCGAGAGAGCTTTCAATATTTGATGCTTCTCCGGATCGCTGATGTACAAGTGTCCGTCAGCCGGCGAGATGCACAGATAATACTGATATGCTACTTGGGTTGCGCTGCAAGAGATTTGAAATAAATTAAATTACATATCAATATATGTATTTGCGTCGTACGAATTTCGCAAAATTCGAAAATTAATTACCTTAAAATCAGGACAGTGTAAACTTTTCCTTCGGGCGTGATTCTACGCACGAGATTGAAGTCTCCTACATATATGCTGCCATCGGGACCACTGGCAAGCGCAACCGGCGTCAGGAGTCTGGCATCCTTGGCAAGACCATCGCAATTATGGCATACCAAGGTTCTCTGGAGGCCCGTGCCCATCACCACTTTCACAGTGCGAGGATACTGCTTGAAATGGAGAGTAGAGCCATCTCCTTTCTGCAGGATCCCTTCGTGAAAATTGTAATGGTGATGGATGTCGAGTCCCCAGCCACCGATATCGGAGATATCGACATCGAATCCTTGCAGAGTGGCCGTCTGCGTTTCCCATATCACCAACGGACAAGTGGAATGCTGATAACCGATCGAAATTCTCGCCTGCGCCACGCCGTATACTTTCTGCTTGTAAACGTTCCTCTTGTTCCAAGCGAACGTGTGCGTTAAGTTCGGATCGGCCTCGTACGTTTTCGTATGAAGCGAACCCTCGATCTCCACGTGCACATGTACGTGCGTCAGCGATTTCGGAATGAACGGCCCAGTCAGTTGCATTCTCACAGTAGAGAGATAGCCCGCAGCCTGGCTGCTTTGATACATCAAGTGGAGATTGGAGCCCGGAATAGCGATGCTTTCTTGCACGATCTGCAAACGATGTTTCACGTAAAGCAGTATTGTAATTTTCATTATAAAATTATGCATTACGCACATCCTGCACATTATCGCACAAAATTTGTGATATAACATATATTTGATTTAAGAGCTTGTTGTTTTTCCTCTATTCAGAGATATTGAAAACGATTCTATTTTTAAAAGTTATTATATCGTATAAAAAATTTCATCTTGCAGCAGTAGGATCAATACAACGTTATTTTGATTGGCGCAATCACTGTTAATCGTTTCCGAAATAAAAATTTACCTGATTTTCAGCAAAGACCAAGCTCTTTCCAGGCAAACCGCCAACTTTCTCAGGCATCCAAGTGCTAACGATAATAGGTCGTAAGGTCTCGTGATCGTGTTCCAAGCACGGGCCATGCTCACTAAAGAGTCCCATCGAAATCCCTGGGAAGCCTATTATATTGTACTCCATAAATAATAAGAAACTCAAAAATGTATAACACTTAAGGACGGAACAAAGACGGCACACACGTTGAACAGTTCTGAAAACGAGCATTTCGCGAAGAACTAACAGAAGCATTTGCGATATAATATAAATTATATAAACCCCTTTAACAAAATTATCGTATAAAAGAAAAGTCCGAGAATTATTCGCCTTTTTATTATCGTACCTTTTCCCTGCACATGCAGGGATTGTTGGTTTCAGGTGATCGAGCACGTACGCGCGTTTATCGAAACGTTTGTGACGTTAATGGGTAACGCGATCCAACACGTAACACGAGAAGATATACATATATGTATCGGACCGACTGACAAAACAAAACAAAAAAATCCTGTAATGCATATCCGAGGTTCGATGCTTACCCACTGCCGGGCTCGGCGGCTGGTTGGATTTAAACGACTCGCCTTCCTTGCTGAGGATCATCACAACGGGCGGCAGGACGACGATCTGATTCCAGGGTACGAAGACGGTCCTCGTGAGAGGCTTGAAGGGGCTGCGTTGGAATTGAAGCGTCACGGCACCTCCACCATTGACCAGGACATCGAACCTGATCAAAGTACGTAAATGCATTTCGAACTCTATTGCCGCTGGTATTACGTAGGGATCTGACGTAGATCGATCAAGATAGTGCGAGAGAGCACTATCCGGGAATGAATGTCCGACGAGGCCTTAGAGTTGGAACGCGTATCTTGGAAGCTTTTTCATCCCATCTGATTAGTTCTCTCTAAATGTGTGATATATATTCTCAGCTAGATATATAACTTTAAAATATATGAGATTTTTTTTCTCACGTATAGAAAAAATCATCTATGCTGTAACAGAAATTTTTTGCTTCTGTATTTGTGAAAAATAATATATTTTTCTATCTTTTTAACTTTTGTTCGAAGTTTTGCATTAGCAAAATAAAATCATATCAAAAATTCACTGTAACGGAAATAATTATCAAATGAAATAATAATTGCATTTAAAGTACGATTTTTAAATTCTTTTGAGAATTTTATTATACGAAATTATATATATTTTATTTATCGAACGTGAACAATGGTAGATTTTTATTTATACGTGCTTTGTAATTTCTTCTTTCGCCTGTTCGTTATTTAAGTTTGCATTCAGGTTCAAACATACGCTACGGGATTTAATGAAGTAATATCCTTTCTCATATAAAATTACTAGTTTCTCTGAAATTTGTAGCCGAAACAAAAATTCTCTTTCTACAACACGTTTTTAACAATATTCGTAGTAGCTATATATATTTATACAATATTCATATAATGTATATTTAATCTAATTTTGAAGATAAATGTATTAAATTATCTATGATTTTCATATATTTATGATAATTTTTGAAGAACTAAATAGAATATTTTATGAGATTAATTACATCTTCTATACTAAAATAAAAAAAAATAAAAAATGTAATAAATGTGCTAATGCTTTACTTCTCTATTATATAATTTATAGAAAGAGAAAGAGAAAAACCGAGATATTTTATATATTGAAAATTTATCATACGCAAAAATTTACGACCAAATGTAAAATCAGAGTTTATATTAATACACGGTAAAATTATTTGTCGCGATCGCATAAAAAATTTGTCTAATTTCAAGTTGTAATGTACTGCAACAATATTAAAAATGTATCAATAAATAGAATAATACAACACATGTTATCTCGAATTTATGAACATTAATTATGCTTACACTCGTAGGTGCGGTATTCTGGTCGTTGGATTAATGTGAATTAAATCGGGAGAGAATGCCTGAAACAAAGTTTCGATATGCGAACACATCTCGACGACCGGTGCACAGACCGAGAGCCACAGACTGAGCATGGTACATAGGTTTGCGCAGAGTAATTAGTAAGCTTTCGACATCATTAGCTCGGGCTTTGATGTGGTCTAGTATCCCAACTCCTCTGCTTTCCTGTTTCAGAATTATTCTCGCCAGAATTACTGGATACCCTCCTCGTCTGATATAGTCGTTCCCAGTACCGCCTACCTCCCCCTTTCATTACAATGCAGCCTTGATACCATCGCGCAGAGCGTCCAGTTTGTACATGTCGTAGCCATCATGTGCAAACGCTAATACAACGATGACACCAACAATGACGACAACATGTGTATTTATCGCTGTAAACGGATGTAACAACGGAAACGGTGGGACTCCATAATTCTTTCTACGGATCTGCTCTTCACCGGTAATGTACTATTTTCAATAGCATAATTTACTTATTGTTACACTCAAGAATAGTTAGCAATTAACAAATACAGATTTGAGAGATATGCTCTTAAATATTTTCAGAGCGCGATGGTAATGCATATATAATAATCTGGATTACGCTCGTGGTACTCATCATTTACGTTATGGATGTCCGTCATAATCGTGCATAAATCCCTCTTTCAAAACAATATTATGCCACAGTAATAACTACATCGGCTTAAAATGTGAATTGCCTAATTGCCTCTACGTGTATGTGTGTGCGCGTGTGTGTAATGTTGAATTATTAATATAAATTTCCACTATTCATTACCATATCTATTAGGGGCAAACCAGAATGCACGCTTAAAATCATTTATATCACATTTATATACATTCATGAAATTATTCCAACTCTGGCATTTCGTCTGACATTTTAACTTATGCATAATAAAATAATAGATTTTTAAATTTATATTTAATATATTAAGATACGTTTGATCAAGCATAATCATTTTTTAAAAATAATAACATCTTAAATGTCATTAATTATTATTAAAATTATGATGTTTTTAACAGTTAAGACTTTCTCAAAAAACTTCAAACAGAGAATATACAATATCAATTTAAATTTCTAAATATATATTAGGCCATTAATTGGCTATTATTCTATTACATTTTTATATTCTTCTAATATATTTTACTTATATTAAGATGATAGAAAATTGACAATTCTGACATATGTTGGTATAAATTATTATCTGAAGCTAAATAATTGAATAAGGGATATACAGGTCTATACTAAGGGATATACAGGGATACCTGTATATATATATATATATATATAAGGTAGGAATAGATTATTGATGCTTACCATCCATCAGCTCTGGTCAAGGTAAATCCAAAGCGCGAATCCCTGTCCACGGATACTCTGATGCCTACTATTCCGAGTCCTTGTTCGGTAACAACTTGGCCTCGCATCACCGCAACTCGACTGTTACAAATTATAGATATATCGGGGTCCACCGAAACCGGATCGTTTCGTCGACCCATTAATCCGCGCAATGCTGATTTAAAACGAAATATCCTCACAATTTATATTTGTCGGAATGCAATTTTGATCGGTACGCTCGTCACGACGAAGCTATATGTTCAGTTTTGCGAAGAAAAGTTGCAAATTTTGACAACATTTTTGTTGAAAAATAAGGTTTATTCTACAAACACACAAAAGTCCCAAAGAATTATATTACAAACTTATTCAAAAAGTTTTTAATGTAAATTTATATTAGAAACTTTGACTCAAGTTTTTATTCGTGAAAAAGATATCTTGGCAATTTTTAATTTAATCATTTCTTTTATATCAATACTTTCTTGTCTGATAAGATCTAAAAATTCGAATATTAATCTGACGATGAAAATTTCCGCGATCGCGCGATAATGAACCGGGCACCGTTAATAGCCACTTAGTGTCCGCCTAATTAACGGGTAATGCGATCGTACTACTCGGTCGGCAGACGCGACCGGCGTCTTTACGCGAACGCGGACGCGAGCAATCGATTTCGCCTGTTAAATCAGCTTCCGCGGTCAACGGTTCAATGCGATCCAATATTCTCACTTCGCTGCCAATACAATCCGCAACTCCATTCGACCGACATTCGACGGCCGCGTTGCCACGTACAAGGGAAGCTAATGCCTCTGGCTGAATCGAGGAGCGATACAAATTGATTTTACAAATAGAACAATGCCGCGTAGGCAAGGGCTGGCACGAACGGGGGCACGACGGGGTCAGAAAACAGGCGGCGTCGGCGGAGGACGGCGGAGGTAGCGGAACACGCGCAGTGCGTCGACGATGCATTGTGCTCGCGAAAATCAGCATTTTCCGTAGTGACGACGGCAGCGAGGCGGGAACATTCTTCTCGGCACTGACTTTTGGGATTTTTTTTTTTTTTTTTTTTTTTTGAGAGATTAGAAAAAAAGGAAAAAAAGTTTAGAAAAAGACATAATATACTTAGTTCCGAGGAGGAAAAGGGAAACGGAACGAGGAAATTACTCGTAGGGAAATTATCTCGTGAGAGTAAAAGGCATGCAGTCATGTTATATAGATACGTAATAGGCGTGAGATATATGTAATATAATAATAGATGTATTATGAACTTCAGAGGCGAGTTGGAGGGTAAAAGGTGTGGAGGGTAAAATGGTTAGATTCTCGGCGAGAGAAAGTTGGAATATTTGAAGCTGAATATTTTAAGCGATTCGTGTAGTGCTGAATATAATGAGATCGATGTATAGGTACGTAGATAATATATATAATGTATATAGAGATATATGCGACACACGCGCCGCGGTCACATATGTGTATGGAGCTTGTTACACTAGCTTGTTGGACCGGCCGAATAATCGAATGTAATGCGGCATATGCGACATGGACGACGGTCCCGAGCCATGTAACAAACTATATACGCATTTATGCATTCGGTATGTATATATATATATATATATATATATATTATATATATATTAAATATAATATAGTATATATATACGTATCAGTCTCTCTAAGGGATTGCGTATAGGGGCATATTTGTTCTTGGAGGATCGCGCGTATCCCCAACGCTGCAAGTGACATCGATGATTGCATCCTCGTCCATCGAATATTGGACGACCATTTTCAGTTGTAGCGATTATCGTGCTCGCAGATTTTGCAATCGCATCATGGATCGAAACCGGGATAATTTGGTCGAAGTCGATTCTTAAGATTAGCTAAAAATTCTGAACATGATATTACGTTCCTTCGTTAATTTCGTACGTATAAATTAAAATTGATAAAAGTGACGTTAATATCTTATTCAAAATGACGCGAGTCTCTATTTCATAATTACTCGTATCATTAAAAATTACTATAATTTTTATATAATATAATAAAAGTTGCAAATGGTCTTAATAGAACCACTTATTTGAGTCATCGGGCAAACTAGTGATACAAGTCAATAATGATCAGACATACGTTTCAACGTGATTATTTACACGATTATTTTGATGTGATATAAAAATATACATTTTTAATTTCACAACAATGAAGAATAATTGACTTTTACATGAAATACTTTAAATTTCAAAATGAAAAAAATTATATATTATTTTGAAATTCATTTCGCGCTTATTTTAAATGCAAAGACATATTTTGTTCATCAATCGCCGCGTTTCTATCGCGACAAAAATAATCGTAAATATTATTTTCACGAACAAATTTTCGAAATACGAAATCGTTATTATCGCGCCGGTTTCGACCGCTAATCATATTGATCGTTTCGAGTGACTTGGAGATCAAATTATGCCAGGCTGGCGGACGCTGATCCTCCAAGTGCGGGCACAGCAAGGTGGCAGGCACAGTCGTCACTACTGTACGTCCAAACCCATAGTGAATGGTAAACAGAAAAAGAAAAATGGATGATCCTCAAATGCATTGAAATTTCTAAAGGCAATCGTAGTCAACCTATATATGCAGATAACAATAAACGGAAGAAGAGAACGTATACGCGCGCGCGTACCTAACGCTATAAAAATTAAATCTAGATGCTCTGCGTTATTCTTCTTTCTTTTTTTTCTTTTTGTGAACAGCGATATCACTCTTTTTTTAACTTTTCGTGAGACTTTCTCTCGACACTTATCTGTCTTTTTTTTTCTCTCTCCGCCTCTTTTTCATCGTTCTCGCACGCGAATAACGAGAACGTCGAGGACCGATCTCAGAGAAATACCAAGACGTACGAGAGAACGCGAATCAGTCGAAATAATCTCAGCAGATTAGGAAATATTCCTCGTTTTTTTTTTTTTTTTTAGTACTCCGCGCCAGAAAGAAGTATCGTTGATAGTAAGTAGAAGGAACTCCGAGGTAGATGGACGAGGTAGAGTGGAGACTGGATTTTAGGTCTCGATTTTTTTCGGTGGGTTTCAATTTCCTTGGATATCGGATAAAGACAGACACAGGGTGTTTGGTGTCGGGCCATTGGCACATTTTAGACAGGTGATAATAGACGCAGACAAGGGACAAGGAGGGATGGTCCTTTAGGGTTCTTTATCTTGAACTGTACGGTGCCGATTAGCAATACTTGCCGATCCGTCGATAGATAGAACAGAAAGTGACTTGTGTACACCTGTTGAATTATTATCTCGAATTCGTATATCGTATATATACATATGACAGAAAAAAGAATAATAATAAAAAAAGAACGCAATAGTCGTTCACGCAAGAGGCGCGCAATAAGGTCAGCGTTCGTGTAAAATGCTAGGACGTTCACTATAAGACAAGTTCGACAGGATGTTACATAAAGTGCAAGCCTGGCAAACACAAACAACACAAGACCAGGTTTTGGTAAGTACACGACTCGTAACATACTATTATGTATATTAGTCATGGCTAACGCATCTAAGGGACAAGAAGACAAGACATAACAGAAAAGGGAGACAACAATCTGACGACATATCACAGATAACACAGAGACAATTCGTACGGTTGACTTTAATGTATACGTGAAGAGCTGTTGCCCATGGACAGATGCTCGGATGATGCGTACAAGGGTATATATATATATATATGTACATATATATTCGTATAAGTGAGATGAAAGATGAAGATAGAAAACGAGATTCTGTCATAATAAGATAGAAAGATAAACGGACATGTAAAATATTTTGGATCGAATCGTGGCTATCTCCGAAATATTCGTTTCTTGTTACGATTTAACTTTATTCATGATTTATTTCCGACATAGATGTTGTATAAACAAGACGGTTCCACAAAAAGGATTTTAAAAAAGTAGGTTACAGAATATTTGTTATAAATTCGATGCCAAGAGGATTGTTTCTCATTCGTATGTTTTTTCCGAGTCCATAGCGTTTTTATTTGCGCACGAACATATATTCGACTATTTTTATAAAAATATGGACGGAAACCCGACGAGATGCGCGCGCGCGCGCGAACATGGTGCTATCTCGAGCGGAATGAATCGCCGCAAAAACCGTTGACGGCTCATCTCTTGTACGTATCAACGCGAGCGTGGTCATGGGGCGCGAAAGTGAATAAAGACAGATAGATCAGACAGGTAGATAGAGGCTAAAATAGAGAGATAGAGAGAGAGAGAGAGAGAGAGAGAAAGAAAGAAAGATAGAGCGGACAAAGTAGACTGGTGGGGTGGTGTCGGATGAAAGAGAGATGAGAGACAAATAAGCAAAGTGTAATCAAACACTGGCGAAACGCAAATAGTCGTATAACGAGAAATGATAACAGGCTGTTATATGGACGGCGTATAGAGACAGGAAAGACAAGAAAGAATAAGAGACAGAGAGAAAACGGAACGTTAAGAAAGTAATGAGACAGTAGACAGGCTAAAGGTTTGATATATAAATACATATGTGTTACATATTAATGGGTCATACGAAAGACATGTAAGATGAATGGTACGAGCGAAACGAGCAATAGATGATACTTTGTTTTTTTTTTCTTTTGGATAATGAACGATTAGCGAGAGCTTGAGCTGCAACTTACCGCGGTGTAAAGGAACTCCAGAACGTACTACGTGTGGGAAAAACCAACGAGAAGAAAGGGCGTTACCACGGTCACAGAACCCGCGTGAGCGGGCAAAAACGGATGCGCGTGCACAGCATTGCGCGAGCAATCGTCTCTCGAGCAATTGCCCTCGAACAGGCTATATTCTTCTACTTTTGCGAACGCGATCGCGTTAACTATCTCTTTTCGTGATCTGGGAGCGGACGGCGCGGCGCGTCCAGCTTTTTCCGTCCCCGGCTCCGTTCCGGCTGGACCGACACGGAGACTTGGCGAGTGCTCCTCGCAATGTTCCGCACGCCATTACAGAAACAATAGACGTAGACACACACTAATCAAGCGTACCCATCACACACGCGATCCTTCCAGTCACGCAACATGAACACAGTCACTCTCGGACTCATTCAACATAGAGTGGTATAACAATGTGACAGACACAAGTTGGAAACTACGCAACGCACACACATATGTATATAATGATATGTAGGGCCCGGAAACACACGAATACCCGGCGGAATAACCGGTTGTACGTTAAAACGTGACGTCATTTCGGTCAGGGTGGCGCCCCTTTCTCCCCATGACGCCGTCCTTGGCGCGGATACCCCGATGCAGCGACCGAGGGAAGCTCTTATCAGTTCGGTCTAATCAAGGTCAAAAGGATCGTCCGGACTGACAACGAGAGGAGATTCCTTCGGCGTCGATCTAGGGTCCAGGCCTATGGGACGATCCCTGAATATTGATTACTCTGTCCGAGCAACCTTAATGTCAGTCTGAATACTAGATTCACAGTAGAGCGCAGATCCGTGAGTTTATTTACAATGAAATACGTTTTTAAAATCACGTTAACGTAAATAACTTTTCGAAGATATTTGATGTATGAATATTTTAATAATGAAATAATATTGAAATAGTCGTGAGGTTTAGAAATTTTGAAGACGAAAAGAGAGAGAGAGAGACAGAAAATGTGTGTGATATGTGATTTGAGAAATTATTGATTTAATGAATTTTACAGCAATGCGCATGGTGTACGAAATTGGAAATGGCAATATCAAATCTATAATGGAATATTTTCCAATGTTATTTAAATTTTAGTAAAATTTACAAATCTATCAAAAATACTTTTCCTAAAGGGAATTATCAATTGCATTGTTAAAACTCTTTTAAATAAATGAAACTTTTTTTTAAAAGATAGCTATATGCAAAAATGGGTGGCTGCAATATTCGGAATAGTAATCAATATTCTAGCATTACGAACGGACAATGAACGAAAACAATATTTCAAATGTTCGATTTCTGAAACTCTTCAACGACAACATGGACCTTATTATACGCACCGTATACAAAGTTTCGTGGAGCAAAAAGAAGAAGATGGTACGAGAAATTTCAAACTTGTGTCTACCATATCTAGAAATACTTTTACGAGTGGGCGAGTCACGGCGCTTGTGCTCTTTGACATCGATAGCTCTCTGCACAGACTTTCACAGATAATTGCAAATTCTCGTTAAGGGAGTTTTGATCTCTGCCTGTCTGACTCAACCATTCGTACACTTTATCTATGAACTCCTTTCTCGTAATCGCTTAACGAATGGCCAGATTATTGGTGTCGGAAAGCAATTTTGAAAATGTATCTCTGTTCTTCCTTATATATGAGTTAATTATATATTTTTTTTTGTTGCGCGCAGGCCGAGTACTCTGTTATATTTTATAACGAGAACGAACAGTGCCTAGAGTACATTTAACGCGTGAAAAATGAATTAACTTAATAAGATAATACAAAAGCAAGTCTCTAGCATATATTCTCGTTATGCAGACTTTCGTCGTTCAGTCCGTAGGCAAAACGGAGCCTTTTTTCGGTCTTCGGTTGTAGGGTGATTGGTAATCTGGTGGTGGTAAAGGGCTACACACAGAGGATAAACACTAGACAAAATACACGATTCCTTCGAAATGCCTCTGCGGCCTCTCCCAGTCGAGCCGCATACATATCGATAATTATTTCTCCAATGCCGAGCAAAGATTAAGAAAAAACTTTCTAATTAAAAAAATAATTACGTAAATAAATTCTCATGAATTATGTATTTAACTTGTTATCTTAAGTATGAAAGAATATAAAGTGCCCTTAATCTTTTCTGTATATCTTTCAACTAACTTATAATGTATAAAATATAAAGTTATATATATTCGTCAATTATTATTGTCAACTATTCGTCAACTATATATCAAAAAATATTCAAAAATATATCTAGTATACATTTTATTTATTTAATGATTTTTTGTATTTTTTTTTTGTAATTATTAATAAATAATATTTTTTCCACATTAATGTGAAGGTAAAGATAAATCGATCGCACATATATGTAAAATGTACGATTATTTAATTATTTATTCGTCAACGTAACGCTTGTTAATAATTAATTTCGATAATATATTATAATGAGATTATATATCTGAAAGTTTTATGTCATACGGGAGATACGGAGATTAACTAGTTAAAAAAACCTTTAATTGGCAATGGTTCCGAAGTAATTATCGATACAATTGGCATTCGGAGGGGGGAAAAGGGTGAAACACTAGGAAAATGATGATTAGGGGGTTGTAGGGTGTCACCCACCGGGGGCTCTCTCGATATTTCAGCTGTCACGGATGTGGATTCATGACGATTCGATCAAATTTTTGTAGCGTTTAATGGCCGGTCACGATGGGGGAATATCAATTTAATAAATAATTAATCACAACATATACATATATATATCCATTTGGAAAATATTCGCGACGTGTAATCGTGAACCAATAGTTTCGACGTGTGACGTGTTTAATCAACGAAATGTTCTTTATCGTTATCGTGCTTATTAAATAAAATCAATAAAACTACGGAAATTTATATAAACTATTTTCGCATCATATTCGCCCAGTCATACTTTTTTTGTTTATTTTTATTCTCACTTCGTTTTAAAATAAAACAATAATATGCAGATTTTTCCATATTACCAGATTTGCTATTTTGCGCGTAGTATTTATTAAATGTTTATATTTTGCAAATGTGAAATTTATGTGTTACGTCTCTACAATAAATTATGATAAAATTGAAAACAACATCATATTTGTATTCAAAGTTGAAAATATATTTTAATTAACTTTGTTCCGTTCACGCGAAATTATTGGTGCGCGTTTGTTATGCACACGTATTCAAGAGGATCATGTAAGAGAAAGGTATAATAAATATGAGAAAATATGTACCCCCCATCGTAAACTGTTACCACAGATTGAAACGCGCAAGTTACATAATCATATTCATAACTCGATAATCGCGTGCAGCGTGACGCGATATATTGTATTTTCGCACATTAAATTAGTTAGTCCTGTAAATTGCAATTTGGACATTAATAAATAACGCTTTTTAGAACGTTCACTATACATTTCGAAGGCAGATTCACGGCGTGCCGTATCAAAAGGAACGAAAGTATTCAACCAAACACGATGATACGCGTGTTGTTTCTGGCTAACGAGATAAAAACGAGAAAAGTAATGCGCGGTCGCATGAAAATCGTAAAAAGGCCAAACTATGACACGCAGCTATGCTATTTTATCTTCATTAAATGTTATATGTACAACGTTTACGATCGACCGAGTCGTTGCCGCATTTATACACGTCTCTTCAAAATGTTAATGCAAAAGAACATCGCGAAATTTTATCCGAATTACCTGGAACTGAAAAATCTGCTGGGAATATTTGAAAAAATGGCGAGTTCTCGGTCGCTCGAACGTTATTCTCACTTATATTATGAAAGTAAGAGACTAAAGCGAATTCTAATTCGAGTTTTAGTTTATCCGAATAGAAATGATCGATCTTACCTTTCCGTGTACTCGTCCATGTGGGCGTAGCTCTGCACGCTGTTCTCCTCGACGAGGAACTTAACTCGTTGATAGAAGGACGCTGTGACACTGGGTGGTTGTTTTCGAAGAAGAACGTCCACAGGATTATTACTAGCAAGACACATGATATGTTCTGTACAAGTTTCGTGCGTGCAGCACTCGCTGTCAGAGCAGTCCACCATGCCATCTGAGAAAGGCAATCTGTTAAATATCCACTCGAGCGCGTTTCGCTTTTTAATATGAATTCTATTCTTTGCATCAATTCTATCTCTGGCGCTTTTATCTTTAAAGCGAAATAAAAAATTAATTACAAGAATATCGGATAATTAAAAGAGTAGAAATAATAATAAAAGTAAGACACTAATATTTACTCTATATTTGAACACAATATTAGCCTGTTGTGCAAATATTTTATCGCAGCATTATTATTTCGATAAATTCTCTCTTCCAAACTTTGTAAGAAAAATATTCATTAAACATAGATAAATAATTGTATGTCGCTAATCAGCGGCAATTTAAGATTTACATAGTTTATAGACTTACCTTGATCATTGTCATTGTAATCATTACATTCCAATTCGAGTCGTATGCTGCAATCTCTACCGGCCCATCCGGTCGAGCATTCGCAACTATATTCGCCGTCCTGTAGGGTGCACAGTCCGTGGCGACTGCATCCATTTTCGCATCCGGCTATTGAAAAATAGATAGTTTTCGTTTTCTTTAATAATTACAATTTCATAGAGTTAATCAAGTTAATTAATATCGCGCCACAAAAGAACTTTCGAATCGGAGAATTTAACATCGATTGCAAAATATATGCCTGTGCGCGAGTAGAGTAAAGCACTGATACTCGTTCAGAACATAATTTACTATTTTACATACGTAATGTGCAATGTCTTCCGTTCCATCCTTGACTGCATACGCAAGTTCCATTCTTGCACTGGCCATGTTCGGCGCAACGTGCATCGCACGGTTTTTGATCGCATTTCGTTCCGGTCCAATCGTCGTGACATCTGCAAGTACAAGTACACCTTATAGAGAATCTACGAATATCGACTGTACTTTAATTTTCATTTAGCAGCTGGAACGACGAATAAACAAGGAATACTCGCGTAGAGAAACAATTCGGTTTTATTACGTTAATCGCGCCGGTTATTCTGAAAAGTTACGCAAATGTTCCTAACAGGATTTGTTATGTTAAATGGAAGTATCGTTGAACGTAAAATCATTTCTCGCCGTTTATACCGGGCTGCAATAAAAAATGCGAGTTTGAACCGAGTTCCGAAGTTGTTCCGCCGTCGTGCGGAACTTTTTGCACTTAGAGCCTCTTTTACGCCAACTCTCGGCGATGGGACAGGAGGGGTGGACGAGAGGCGTCAGCTTTAGAATATGAGAAAGGAGAGATCCTCTCCCGCGTCCTTGATTCTGACAAAGGAAAGTAGGAAGGGACGGTCCTTCGAGTTGTGATAAGTTGGCGCCTCGTAAGACAGAGCCTTTTTCTCGCAATTTTTCACCTTTTTAGCCTCAACTTTTGTGCCCGCGATCCCGACGAGCAATTTACTCATTTTTAGGCCATTCTTCGCCCACATCTATTCCACGATATTTCAACGTCCCGACAAAACGTTACTCTTTCTCGACTCGTGCGAGGGAATTACTATTAAATGCTCGCGACGTGCTCCCGTCATGAAAACGACTTTACGTTTCGCAGTCTTCGACGCGACATTACACGATAATCTATTCCAGTCGTAAAAGTTGCAAAAAAAAAAAAAAACTCGTCACACATCATACTCGATGAAGCATAGAGCGCGTAAATGGCCGCCACGTCCGCGCAATTCCGCAAATCCCTCGCATTAAACAATGATCTCGCGCGAGGTGCGGGCGTCACATGGGAGAGAACGCGAATCGGGGTCGCCGTGGAGAATTCCTTTAATCCGAGAAAAACGACCGGGCGTCGGGACACGCGTCACTTTTCTCGTTTCAATCCTGGCCAGCCAGCGGCTGCTTGCCCGTTCGCGCACGGCTAACCCAGTTTCCGGAATCCCGGTCGCAACGTCCACGGAGGAGCCATAAAGGACGCCGATGTATAAAGGACGACGTATGTGAACGTGTGTAGGTATACTGACTTGCAACGACCCTGCTCGCAGGATCCGTGAGGTCCGCAGTCCAAACCGCAGCTCGGCTGTGAGCAATCGACCCCGGTCCAGTGCTCTTCGCAAACACAGGCCGCAGATTCGAGGTCGTACGTGCCGTGATCGGAGCAGCCGGGCAGACACTGGTATACCTGCTGATCGACCTGATTGCACCGTTCTCCTTGCCAGCCGGCCTTGCAGTAACACTTGCCGGAAACACAGGCGCCGTGACCGTTGCAGTTCGGATCAGCGCAGTCGGCTGAAAGTCGAAAAAGAACGAATCGAGCGGATGAGATCGTTGAGTTTTTCAACGGTTCGGCGCGCGCGATTTAGAGAGAGAGTCTTCGCGTAAAAGTATAAACTTCTCGTTCGAGAGCGGCGCAAACCCTCTCTCCCTCATATCCCTTCGGTTATCAGCCCTTCTCTTTCTGCTCGTCACGCCCGGGCGCCGCTGATTGCGTCCATGGCGTGGACGAATGGACCAACTTTTTAAATTATGGCATCGGAACAATTGCATTATTCCCGCGGATCCCACCTGCCCCGGGGAAATTATGAAACTTAATTCCAGAGCGTCCTCGGCGCGGCGGCCTTGCGTCCGTGCCGCGTTTTATGTATATATACGCGGGATGCAAGAGATGAGAGAAATTCCTAGCGGATTCTTCTTGCATTATGTATGCACGACGTTGATCGAATGGGATCATAGATTTGTTCGCTTTCATTAGAACCTGGCAGGTGCGTTCGCCGTTATACGGAACGCAGGAAATTGGGCGTTGAAGTATGATACCATTAAGGAGTATTTAATAATATATATATGTATACGTACAGAATGATTCTCTAAAGCGAGCTCTGTTTAGTCGAAATGTTGAAACATCAATTTTCAACGATAAATGAAGAAGCAGAAAGGTTTTATAAAAATTTCAAATATTGAAAATAAAGCAACGTAATAATTAATTAGTATTACATAAATATTACTATCGTTTTTTTTATTTTGATAAAAATAAATTCATAATTTTCATCAGATTCAACAAAGTTTGCAGACTTTACTTGTTAGTTTTCATTTACCATCGCGTTGCGACTGATGCAAATCCGTTCCGGTCTTCAAATTTATTGTTCCTACAATTGGAGTTGACATATTCCACTGACGTGGAATTAATACCGTTTTCGTCTACGTTTAGGAAAAAGCGGCGAGTGAGCGGATCTCTAACGAGGACCGTGAGAATGTCAGAGACGAAGCGTCTCGTACCCGGCGAATAATCTCGTCATTTATATCGTGTGTCATTCAGTCTCGAAAGTTCTGAGAGTGCGAAATTATATAACGTATCGAACGCAGCTGCGTATCGCACGCGCGTTTGTCGTCTATTATTCAAATTTTCGCAAAACAATATGAAACTAATTGTCGCGTTGAATTGGCATGGCTTGACCCATATGTAAATTTGGAGAACTCCGCGTGCATTAATTATAGATTGTACACAGGCCGGGGCTGTGTTCTCTACCGGTGGGGACTCTGCATTACTAATATCTTGAATCTCCCCGGATAGAGGACCAGGACGTACGCTTGAATTATGGGAAAATTAATGGTGTTGTGACAAACATGAAGAAATAACGCTCCGGGACAGAAATAGATGTTCGAGGTAAACGTTCCCGCCGGCAACTTCCGCTAAGCCGTTTTTAAAACTGAAATATGCGTGCGTTTGCAGCGCAACATCATCGCAAATCGGGCTCGAATAATATTTTCAAACAAATCTCGATAAAATAAAATCTGCTGATCTCGAAATCTTTTTCATCTTTTCTGCTTACCCATCGCGTCAGAAAGTTCAAAAATAAAGCAAGCAATTTAAATTTCTTATAATCCGGATACATGGTAAAATTTTCATCAGACGCATTTATTAAATCGAGCATATTATATTTCCATTGCTAGCTTACGTTCGTCGCAAAAGGCGCCCTTCCAACCAGGGTTACAGACGCAGGATCCTCTGACGCATTGACCATGTTGATTGCAATCAGGAACTTGGCAGTCACCTAACGGTATATCGCATTCGGCGCCTTTCCAACCCTCTTCACAGTGGCACATGCCACCGCCGTATTGTCCATGGGAGGAACATAAAACCGGACATACGCTTTTGCTGCAATCAGCACCCTGAAACAATCGCAAGATTTCGCGTTTTATATTCTCTGATATATATATATATATATATATATATATATATATATATATATATATAGTTAGATAATAGGGTCATTTCGTGAGAACGCACCTGATATCCGTCTATACAGTCGCACTTGCCAAGGTAACACGATCCACGTCCGGAACAGTCATTGGGACAGGTAGTAGAGACCCCCTCCGCTTCCGTTACGACTAAAGTGACCTTGTAAGGCTGCAGTTCGTCGTTGTAGACAGATAGGAACCAGTCGCCGGTGTCGAAATATTGCAACAGACTGACGTTGACCATTAGCGGCTCCACAATAGTTCTCTTGATGAGCACATGTTGATAAGATGTGGCCGGTTGCGCCGCATGCTCCGCGTGTATATCCTGCGAGCTACCAGACTGCATAAAACTGACGGCCTCGGCAGTCACGTCCCTCTTTAGTCTCTGAACCACCCTGCCACCCTTCACGAACTCTACGAAGTCGTATTGCGTGACGCTGGGCGCGACGTTCCGCCTGCCGTACACAGCGAAATTTGCGCCCCACGGCAAGGTCAGATTCAGCCTGATGAACGCCGGTTGTTTGTTACGGAACTCGGTGTTCCAGAAGTGGTACGGAGGAATGATGGCGGAATGGGCGACGTTGTAGGCCTGCAGCTCCAGTACCGCCGGCCATTGTTGCGCGGATTGCTGGATCTGCGGATCGCTCTGCTGATCGCCGGCGCTGTCTGCAGCGCTGGAATGCTCCGCTGTGCTCGTCGGTAGGGATTCTGCGAGAAAGAAATGCGAAGGATGCCACGTTGAATAATACAGTGATATATGTAAGTCAGCGAAACTATGAAAAAAATTTATAAAATTGTTTAATCTTATTGCTTTTTATCGCAATAGTATTTTTAAACTTAAAAAAAAGCTTTTATTTCTCTGACTTATATCACTATACGACATATTGTGCATTTCTATACAGAGATTTACGTTCGACGAATATGGAATTTGAAAAAAAATTTGTATTAGATATTTACTTATTTCTCTCTTAATGCATTAGACTTTTAGAAAAATATTTATTATCGAAAGAATTTAAATATGAATAAGAGGTAGAAGCGTTCACGTTATTTTTTTATATGGTGTTACATGTTGCTCTCTTCGTTCCAAATCCATCAGTTTATCTTCATATCAAGCGCGTTACTTGTATAACTCAATTGCTCAATTATCCTTCTGAATTGGTACGGCTCGTAGTGTGAAATCTTTATAGCGAATGACATTTGGATGCGCGACGATATAGCCTTCACTAAGGATATTATATCGATGGAACGTTCATCCACTCGCGCTTCCCAAAAGCAATTACCGTGTGACGCTGTACGCGAGAGTATTTACATCATGCAGAGTAGATGCAAATTAATACCGTTCGATATTTACCTTCTGTGGGTATCTGCGTGGATATCGAATCGTGAATGTGTGCGTTTTCGTGAGTGACAGCCTTGCTATCTTGAACCAGAATGCAGTTAGTACTGTCTATCGGGCGCATAGAACTCACTGCTGGAAAATAAACAGAGCATCTATCCTAAGACGAGAGTTTATGCTTACGGTTTCATGCAATATATAGAGTCTTTTCTGCATTTATATTTATAATTTAATATTTATAATTATAATATAACATTATAAATTATTTATCATTATATATAATTGTTATGTATGCATTTCATCATTATAGTTACTATTATTGTTAATATTCAAAAAGTTATTGCAACATCATTGAACATAATTAAACATTAGAGATAATTAAATTTGCGTTTTCTTTGTTAACGTATAATACGTTAAATATGTTTGCCTTTAGAAGTTTCTTTAAGCAATTATGCTTAAATCACGCGCTAAATAGCGCACACAGACAATTTTAATAGCTTCGGGGTGAAAAAATCCATGTATGCAGTCTTACATACAATTGCACGTAGATAAGTGTTATATTTGTAATATACGACGCGTATTCAGCAAAATAGCATTATCGTGCGACGCTTTTATAGCGTCAGGAATCAAGAACGGCTTTAGTGGAACCTCTGGGAGCAGCCTAATGGGTTCATAAATTCGAACAATCGCTTTCGAATTACGATGGTGCACTAGATTTTCCATGACAAGTCGATTTTTTTGCTCGAGTAACTTTTAAAACAAGGTATCCGCATAATACAGTTCGAGGTCTTCGAGGTACCTTATAGTTTGAATCACAGTTGCATGTATCACCTATACGCGATATTGCTTTATCAAGAATTCCATTCTTTTATAAGCTTCAACAAAACAGTATCGATGTGTTTAATTTAATTGATTCTTATTACGTCGAAAATAATTATGATACATAATTTTAATGGAGATAAAAAGGAGGAATCCGAGATTCAATTTTATGTTGATATTCTATAACTCAAGTTATCTCTGTAATTTTATCTCAAGTTGGGGGTCATTTATATTAATGTTTTCTAAGCGATAAGTGCAAGTTCGTTGAATTTATAAACGCCATGATAAATTCGGCAATAAAACCCTTATCCGTGGCGGGATATTGCGGTTTAATTAATTATCTGTCTCGTGCGCCGCGAGCGTCACGAATTAATTACGCGGTTTAACGAGAGTTTTTAAAAAGGGGCAGGACCCCGCGCGCAATGCAACCTCGCAACTAACGACCTCTTGGCTTATCAACGCAACAAAACAGCGATAACGCATAATTGAATTCGCGTGTTATTGCCGCGCGGCTGATTTGACAAATAGCGATTCGCCGATACACTCGGCGCTTGATATTTAATGGACGCGTTTTCGCCTACCGCGATTTATTGTATCGCGGATTGTATAAGCTTTCTGTCGCGATAATAGCACTCATTATCGCGCACGCTCATGCGCTATTTCTAGTGGAATTGCTATTGTAATGTATCATTATTATTTCTCTACAGCTTCGCTACACAAACGCGCGCGCGTAGAAAAATTGCTTCGCGAATATATAAAATCGATATCATAAATGACGTATCAGAGCAATTACTGAACTTTTATCAAACAAATCGTAGTAGGCATTACTTTGAATTTAATATAAATTATATTTTAATACAAGCAATTTTTTTACATTTAATCTGCTCAAGTTTTCGCAATAATGTCAAACTTTGTTTTTCATCATGGAGAAGTTTACCATACAGGCAATAGTCCTTGACAAGTTTCTTCGAGGTAAAGGAAACTGCGCGATACATGAGGAGATAAACATATACATACGTAAAAGTTTTCATACACATTTGCTTTCTCACAACCGATACCAGAGAGCGAGAGAGCATGCACATATACACATACGCACGTCAGCCCGGAGATAGGCGAAATGACCGGAAAAGAGCGACTATTCCTTCGGGATCGACGTTGCCTAGCCGCCATGTAACTATCACTGAAATTGAGTTGCAGTGAACTGTGAATGACCTTATTTCGCGTATACGTCCCAGTCAGCGTTGCATCGTTTTCGTTCTCGCTTCATATTATCGTAGCTCAGCAATCCAACTTTCCACGTATCAAACATACGTATATATCCGGTATCTAAAAAGTCGTCTGCTAACTTTTAGAATATCAAATATTTATTTAATATTAAATTTTTAAAAAGTATAGTTTAAATTAATTCTTAAAAAAAGTAATTTAATTCAAGACGTACATTAAGCTTTTTGTCAAATCAAACTTTGGTAATACAATTGTGCATTTTTCAATTTTTTATGCACTTACTCCAGAATAAATTTTGATATTTTGAATATTTTAATATTATTATTATAGGCATACAGGATTCTAAAATATTTGATGTTGGAAATTAGAGAGTTTGATAGAAAATTTTCAAAATAAATTTGCATTTGATATCTCTAAGTAATCTATCCCAACGCCAATTGGAATTTCCGAAACACCCTGTACATTTTCCTACAAAGACAACACAGCGCGAAACGAGATTATTTCAGAATTCAATATATACTCTGGATCGGGAGACCGTCAAGTTTTGGTGATGAGCTACCGGAAATTTAAAACGGCCGTAATGCAAGTTGTGGAAGGGTCGTTGCACAGCTACCTACCCCTTTCGCGGGGATAAAAAGAACGAGCGCGATTGTGAAGGACAGCGGGCACGTTCACAGGGCGCGCAAAGGAACAACTTTTTCAATTATATACTCCCGGATCGATAGAGCGATTCATTCCCGAGAATGATTCCCGGATTATCGTAGGATTATCCCGCCGCTACCCCCGGTTGGTCCGTTCCATCGCCCACTTCCGCTCGCGTACGTTATAATGAAATGTTTACAATCGATCCGTCTACCCTTTCGTTCCTATCCGCCGAAGCGTGAATCCAGACACGACAGCGTTATCGAGCCGCCTATACAGTGTCGTTATTATTGACAAGTTAACTACTAATAGTGTACTAATAATGTAATATGTTTTCTCATGAACAGAGGAAACAAGTGAGTGACTCAAACTATCATTTTTTTTTAGTAGACATGCTGTTAAACTCACAATAATTGTTTTAATATTGTGTAGGGGAATTTATATCTCAATACTTGTTAATTACAATTCAAGAAATTTAGCAAATCACGAATGACACTTTAAAAGTTCAAATGTTTATCATCAAGAAACGAGAAACAATTAATTTTTCTTTTTCGAATTTATCGAAAACAATTGTCGTGAGAGCGGTTTTATCAATCACATGTAAATGAAATCGCGAAAGGAATCTACATCTTACTCGCATATAAGTTGCTCGTCTATTTTAACCGTAAGGATCATGGACGCGCAAATATACGTCAAACTACCGAAAAGCAAAGCAATTCGGGCGCATATAAAATCCATGCATTCCGGAAGCCAGACGAAACGAAAAAAAAGGGGTTCGTGTATCTTACCGTATTTGTGCTCTCGCGCGCGAATACGCGCGTTTGCATGTTGCGCGCGGCGGGAGAGTAAACGAACCCTGTACGCGATCGTACCAAAGAGGGGGACAACGCGAGGTTGGCGCTGTTGGGGTAGTTTGGATGCAGTAGCAAACAGGCAGATTGGATTCCAGACTCGATTTACTGGAATGCAGAAATAACAGCTGGCGAGCGCAGTCTCCTCGAGGCTGAGAACCGACTTTGCAATCTTCCTTCTTTCCCCTTTCACGATATACGCAGAACAGGAGAAAGAGGAAGAATATGAACGAAGTCCCGAGGAAGCAGGAAAAGGGGAGGATAGTTTTGTAAGAGAGAGCGTAGGAGGAGACGAACGCGGAGAATGTTATATAGAATCGCGGGATACAATGCGGACCCGGCTATCTTCGTATTCTTCCCTTCTCCCGGTAAATCTTCTTAGTCCCTGTGACCTCGGATGATAAAGTCTAATACGTCTGCGAGACGGACCTTGACTGTCGTTTGGATTTTCGGATTTCTCACGAAATGGAAAAACGCGAATTCGTATGGCGGCGAGAGAGACACAGAGAGAGAGAGAGAGAGAGAGAGAGAGAGAGAGAGAGAGAGAGAGAGAGAGAGAGAGAGAGAGAGAGAGAGAGAGAGAGAGAGAGAGAGAGAGAGAGAGAGAGAGAGAGAGAGAGAGAGAGAGAGAGAGAAGGAAATAGGTTCCTCTCTGTAGCGCGCTGATAACAGGCAGGCATTAATTTCCCTAATCGGACCCGGCGCCATGAAGATGCAGCGATTTTCAACCCCGTTCGCGCGTATCTTTAGCCTCGCACTTCGTTGGCTCTTACATTAGCATATAACAGACCTGGCGAAGTCATTTTCCGAGTTCTTTTTGCAGCAATGATAATCTAACCGAAACGGTATTCTTTTAACGTTGAGCTTAACGACGTGGATCAACGAGAACGATTTGTCTTGTCGCGCGAGCTCGTTAATAGAGCCGTGCAACTACAACAGACGGCAAGAATGCCGTTGTCGTGTTTAGTTTCAGTAAGATTTCATGTTTGCATACATCGTGAGATTACGCAGTAAATTATTTACGTAACAAAATTTGTCAATATTAGCCATCGGGTGTACCGAGATAGTGCGCCGTTAGTCGCACAGCTATCGATTTATGCGTCGAGTAGGCCATTGCCCCGCGAAATGCCCGATTCGGTTAGCAAAGATACATATTTTATAGTCTCTGATAACTTGTTGTTTTGTTTTCTCAGCAAGTATATAACTAAGCTTGAAAATTTTAAATCGCTGATACTTGAAAATAATGAAGATTGACATTTTTTAGGATTATATTGTATTCTATACCCGAAATAAAATATATCTTTTTCAACGTGGAACCACTGCATTATTAAGGGATATAAAGGCACGATCTTCTCTATTGATTCATATATACGAATGTGTTCGTTTCTTCCTTCCGCCCCTCCGACCCGTTACAGTTTATAGTTTCTGAACTATGAGTATTATGGGTAAAATGTAACCCTGCTATCGAAACGCTTCCTTTCTCACTATCGACTGGTAATATTTTTGCCTCTCCCTAACCGGACGGAGCCAACCACTCCGTGTTAAATGAACCATTACGTTGGCAATGTTACGCTTGTAACTCCTCACAGAAGATCCGGACTTCCGCTGTTGAACAGTATTTAATTTTCTCAAAGGCGACATATATATATTCTGGCTTACGTTATTCCATTTAATTTCTCATTACGCAAAATACGAGAATTTTATTCTAGCAATGTAATAATAATAATTAATTCTTTGGATTATTCAAAAATAAATTCTATTCTGCAAATATGATAATAATAATTTAGCAGAGGAAGTTTTTAGAATTTAAAATTAAAAGCAAATTGATTTTACTAAAAGAGCAGGAATAAAAAATATGTTTACATGAAATGTTACTTTTATTACCATATTTCTTCATTATGTTAAAAAAACATATTTCTTTTTTGACATATTTATAACTGAAACATTGTGAAAATAATGCCTTTGGTACAGCATTTTGGAAGTTTATAACGGTCCAGCAATATCCCTTTGTAACAAACGTTTCAACGTAGCGCAAAATAAAATGGACTTGCGTGTTTTATAACCCGAAGCTGCTTCTGTCGCAAAGAAACACCGTAAACGTCAACCGTAAAATAATGCTGTTGCGGCAATGTTACGTGCACCGTCGTTGCAAGAAAAATGTCAATGTATCGTAGATACACACAGTGCGGGCGCATACAATGTAAAATATTTCGAATAGTTTACTCTTTCTCTCGAATTTAATTGAATCTTTTGTGCTTCTCTTTTTTTATTAATTTTGTGCCTTGTTTATACATTTAACCATTTTCATTCGTTAAATTGGAAATACATTATCTAAATTGCATATTTGAGTAAAATTTTTTTTTTTAATTTAGCTCGTTGCTATACTTCTACTCTTATTCTTATTCTCTTATTCTTATAGTCTTATATTCTCTTATTCTTATATCGTTTCTTTATAAATCGAGCGAAAATATAAATTACACGCGCACTCTGATATTTGCAAGTCTCATTTAGTCATGATTTACATGATTACGCGAAATTCGTCATGCCTTACACGGAATGCTATAGTGTCAGTCATATGTATATTTATAATCCCCCCCACTGCATATATAGGAATTAGCATGGTGCAGTAATGCCGACGTTCCGATGGATTTTAGGTAACCAGATTTGCAAGTTAATAATGAATTATTGTACCGTGAATTTCGGGTCAGCCGGCAATAGAATTGTGTGCGGACCATCCGCCAGCGGCGTGTTACGACTCGGACGTACGCTTTGGGACTAATAAAAACGGCTCACTCAAATTTATGCCGAGGCAAATATTATTTATGAAATCGTTGCATTAAATGGCCCCTCGCTGTCGTATATTACAAATACAAATTTGACTATATTTTTAGACAGTTCAACCCGACCGTTAATCGATTCGCAAATTCGTCATTCGATTCGAAATTAACCGTCATAAATGCAGAATATCGCGTCGAATTAAGCCTCGTTGGACCTCGCTTTGTTATCAGCGGAAAAAATGGAAATATTTCTACAAGTATAGTTATACTTACCAGCGAAGTATGCGAGCATCGCCGTAAGCGCCACGGCCAAGAGGATTAGGACGATCGAGAAGCATTTCCAGGAGCATCTATGCTGACAACGTTTATCGATGTGAAAGCGCGACGGCGAATAAGGAGAGTAGTGCGGCACCGCTGCGGCGCGAAGCGGCGGAAAACCCGGCATCACCATAGCTTGGCCTTGCGCGCCTACCGTGGCGGTACCGCCATTTCCGGCACCACCTAAACCGCCGCCGAGAGAACCCACTGTCACTTGCTGTTGCGGTGGAGGAAGCCTGAAACAATAAGCAACAATCGATGGTTATTAAAATAGTCTGAGACGTAACGTGAACGTTATGTCAGACACAATTAACGTCGCGTCTCCGTATACGCGTACGTCTAAATTAAATTGCTCGCGACTCTCCCCTATCTCGATAATTCAATAGACGCATTAATAACTACGAATCGAATTATTAAGTAAAGATGACAAATTGTTCGCGAAATTGCAAGCGATCGCAAATCGGGAACACAGTCGACGTCGATTAGTATCTCCTGCCGTATCTCGCTTACCGCTGATTATTAGTTAAATTCATGCCGATACGTATCAATGTGTCGGGTAATAAATGGGAGGGTTGACTGCACACACACACACACACACACTCCCAACCGATCGCTTGATCCGGAACCGTCGCTCTCCAAGGGCGATCCCTATACCGTCGATAAATCGACGACCCGGTATCTATTTTGGTGCACGTGTGCTTGCGAAGGCGGCAGACGTCGGCGATGTGCGTCCGGGGATGCAGATAACGCATTCCCGGAGCTTATAAAAGATGCAGATGCCGCCATTAAGCTCGACATCGACAGGGTTTGGCCCCGTGTATGAGTGTATCGTTGCACGAGACTCGCGGGCTTTCGGAAAATGACGTTCACGTGAATGACAAGGTTAAGGCCCTTAGCCGTCGGACCCGTGTCAAGGATTTTATTTTCATCATCGACGATATTTATTTTCGTCCCCTCTCTCCCTATCGAGGGGATAAGCGCGGTCGAAGCCGGCCGGATGAAGAGCCAACGTCGAAACAGGGATTTAATATGGTGCCTAGGATAAATATAGTTTTCCGATAATCATGCGAACTCATGAATAGCATTATGCGCGCGCCATAATGTATGACTCGCTCTACCGTGGCCTGAAATCCCGCAAGAATAACTCGATTGACAGTACGTTTGGTAGGGACGAGAGAGAGAGAGAGGGAGGACTAAAGCAACCCCACCAAAAAAAAGGAAACAAGCGGGAACTTAACAATGCGCCGCGACGCCAATATTGGATTTTCCGCTTAAAAATTCACGTGGGATAAAGTCTCTGAATACGAGCTCGGTTGGTTAAATCGAATACTTGCGAAATCTTTTTTGAATTGATTTTACACGGGTTCGACGAGGAAGCAGTGAGAGCATTGGACTTAATCTCAAACTTATTGCTTGAAGATAACGTTTCACTTTCAGGGTATATAGACGAAGTGATTTAAAGTGACTTTAAGAAAATTTCCGGAATATAATAACACATGATATGTAATATTGATCGAAAAGTAATTTTCCTTCCTTTAATTATGTTGATTAAAAAAACCTCTTTTCGTTTACTTATCCAACGCAATCAAGATCAAATATTTGATAATATTTTCTTGCTGTATAATTATAAAAACATTAATAATTTAAAAAGAGCGATTTTAAAATTTTCACTCTCTTATAAATTATATTTTTTTTTTATCAAACAAACTCAGGAAAATTTCACAGACACTTTTTTTTAAATGATGAATTTTACGAACAAAGATTTTAAATATAAACTAAGACAGATATCTTTCAAAGTTCTGAGAGACGAGCATTTTCTCCCCCTTGAAGAAATCGTTAAGATGTGTCATGTGCCTCGCACAATTTATAAGTTGCTTAACAAATCCAGTCCGATAAATACCATAAATAATCACGCTTAGATCCCGACGCTTCGCGATCCTAATAAACGTCTACTCATATTTCCCGGAGCAGGAAGCAATCAGACACGACATGAAAAAATATCACTGGCAGGAGTCCCGCCGTTCTTACGCGACGACACAGAAAAAATAGAAGAAATGCGAGAAAAGAAATTCCGCGCAATAAATATTACTTTTTCCTTGGGATCATTAATGTAGGAATAAAGCCTGCGGCATAAAATTAATTTACTAAAGTATTCAACATGCTTAAAATTTGACAAAAATTACAGAGGAAAAAGCTTAATGGCGAAATAATGGAGGTTTTTTTCAAAGCTGGAAAATAGCCAAAGATAGCCTTATTTGTGCTTTGAATTATTTGGTAAAAGACCAGTGGATGTGCACTCTCCGAAAATAATTCAATTGTCGATGAAAGAATATAATGTTAAAAATATATAGAGAATATATCTATAGAATTTTCTCTCTATATAATGTACAGATAATATTTCAGATTTTTCCTGTAGTTTCTTTTATCAAATACGTATCAAATAATGTAAAAATAAATTTTTATAACAAAAATTTAATAACAGCAAAATTAATATTTGTACATATCTGTACATGTGATTCTGTTTGTAATATAATCTTTCTATACTATTGATATAATAATTTGAAACTCATACACAACACTATTATTGATGAAATTAGTTTGCTGGCATTATTTCTTTTCGCCTAAACATTAATTAACTCGAATCATTTATGATGCTTTGCGATTATTTCCATATCTGATCTTGACTATCCAAATTAAAGTTTGGAAAATTTTTCCAAAGAAATAAATTTATCCTTCTGCATCTCTCTCTCTCTCTCTCTCTCTCTCTCCATCTCTCTCTTTGCTAAGAGCCTTCGGACAGATGTACGATGCTCCGGCTGGGACAACCAGATTCTTGATTGCACGTAACAGACAAATGAAGCAAGGGGAGTGGCTGAAAACAAGATGAACGGCGAAAAAGGAGAGTAAAGTCGGGGTTGCACTATGGAAGAACGGAGTAAGCAGCAATTCGGCGTGTTCACGCCGTGGTCCCTCTCCGAGCCGGGTTAATCCATTTGTGCGAGTAAATCGGTTAGCTGAAATTGGGTTATATTTCCTAATCGATACGATGGATTAAGTTACCGGTCGGTCCTTCCTCTAGTGCGTCGGTCACGATGCATGGCTCTTTCTTCGCTAATTATCGTTAATAGCGCAGTAGACGTGAGACAAATATATAAGCCAACACGCTTTTGCAAAATTACAGTATTATTTTAGCTCTGTATATATATATATCACATTCGAATGATATTGATAAAACTCTGTCGAGGCATTTCCAATTATAAAAAAGCATCGCGATACATGATATTCCGAGTGGAGTTAATATATTTTTCCAATCCAATTTTCAGTTTATCGTATAAATTTATCAAATTTCATCGAGATTGCTGGATTACTCAGGAACGTATTGCAAATTTCAAACGTCGTTCCCGTTGATTCGAACGGTCCGCTGATTTTTCTTGTGACAGCTTAATCTAACTCGGGGATATAAGCGTAAAGCTAAAGCGAAAAGTTGCCGCGGTACGACTTTTGGGAAAGGAAGTTCGAAAACGTGCACGGATGCTCCTTTAACCAATGTAAAAGTGGGTCGAGGGATACCGAGTACGAGTTTGATCGTCAGCAACCTGAGCGGATTAGACAGTTCTCGTTGCTGCGAAGTTAAGATGCTCCTGATCTAAGTTAAGTCGTAGTCCAGTCACGAAAGGACCCACCGTCACTTTAAGCAGGTAGCTTCTCCGACTAGGCGACACTACGATGATGCTGGGTCCTGGTGGGTGTGGATTGTATGAACGTGTACAAAACACCTTCGCCGATTAAACCAATTGGACGGCTGTCTGATATATTGGAAGTTAAAGAGGTAATTGCGAGCGGCGTTGCTGCCACATATTGAGTTGAGTGTCGTCTGAGTGGAAGATTGGACTGTTTCAGCTGCGCGAGCTGAAGATAGGCTCGAGCGTGTGATCCAATTATGATGTAACGCATGTTTCATCATAGAAATGATTGTGAGCGGCGAGTGCCATACACAGTTCCTACGCCATTTCGAAGGTCTTCCGTGTGTTGAGAGTCTTTCATTAAGGATCAAAAACGGTCTTGGAGAAAAATAGAGCATATATATATATATATATATATATATATATATTAAACTCGTTTATTCTATTATTATTCTAAATCTAATAAAAAATGCCCTGCAATTATTGTTTATTTTTTTGCATTCTGTTTAAATCTTTTATCTTTGCGTTATGAAATTTTTTTCAAAACTGACTAATTAATGGAACAATAATAAATGAGATATCAATCTCTGCAATTTCAGCATTACGTCCATAAAGAGAAATTTCTCTCAGTCTCTAATAATAATATAATAATAATAGATTCACATTATGAAATCTTTAACGTCCATCATTCTCTATTTCTCGTATATCCTCTTGTCCGAAATTAAACCAGCGTATCTAACATCTAAAGTGAGATATCTATCCTGTAGTAACGTTACTCCGGTAGTCTCTGGCCACTAGAAAACATAATAGGCCCTTCCTCGGAAGGGAGGGCGTGAAAAATCTCGGAGGCCGCTGATACTCGATCGTTTGTCACGAGAGCGACGCTTATCTACGATCTCTCTTTCTCTCTCTCAAGATCGCGTCGCGTATTAAACGAAGGTGTCTTCAGGTAAGACGATTGTCGTGGAACGCCACGGTCCCACCATAGGAGGTAAATACGTAAAAAGAATCCTAATAAAAATCTGATACGCGCGCTCGAGACCGCCCTAAACGTGCGTTTCAAAAGGGAAGATAAGGTGACAGAGAGACGTACAGGTAATGCGACGCGGCGCACAGCTGAAATTGAATCCCATACTCTCGGGTGAAAAATTACGATCGTTTCTAACACTGCGCCAGACGGATAATGAAGTCTGCTGCTCTCCCAGCCATTGTTCCGCGAGGGCATGTCAGCGCGTAGCCGCGCCTTCCGACAGCCTGCTTTCTCGCCGACGTTTTAGCGCGACGCTTCTAATTATTAATTTCGGTCTTTTAATATTAATTAGACTCGCGCGGTGCGCTACGCGCCATAATAGAACGGCGTGATTACGCCGGGATTATAATTTTAATCGCTCGATTACCGCGCTCTGAGAGAGAGGGAGCATCGCGCTTCGCGTCTGACTTCTAAACGTAGGAGGTTGCAGCGATGCAGCTCTTGTATGCGTTCCCCAGCACATAATAATAGGTGCGATACCACTGAATATTCAAAGAGACGCGCGTCTCTCTCTTTCTCTCTC